GCAGATGGCACTGTACTACGCCATATCTTTATGTTTTGCGGCAAACGACAACTTTATAAAATCAGTGTAGCAAATTTTAAAAATCGTCATATCGTTTACTTGAAAAATTTGAAGCACGAACTCGTCTTAGATTTCACCTAATATCTAAATCACATCATCTTTGCACATAACAATATACTTACTTCCTATTAAAGTATAAATTCTACAAATTTTAATACATTCATACTCAACAATATTTAAAATAAAATAAGCCAAGAACGTTTATCGATAAAACCTACTAACATTAAAATCTTCTGGGCAGCACTAAAACCGCCATGTTTTGTGGCCAGATGACGTCACAGTGGCTCGAATTTTTTGTTGACGTTTCATTTCCATAGGTTTCCTATTTCAGTGAAAAAAACACATATTCACGTGTATTCACGCTTTGCAGACTCTTATCAAAGCATAAAGCTAGTCTACCCTCGTAACTGAATGAGAACAACAAAACAAGTTATTCATTAGGTTGGGGAGATTTCTTTTCTGTTATATTTGTCGTGGTACAAGTCCTCGATCTCGCGGGATTAACGCGCAAACAATAACGGGCAGGAATCGTTTAAGAGTCTGAACGGTTTCATTTGGAGATAACCAATAAACATTTAAATATGTATATGGCTAGTATTGTAAGTCTTAGACGCAATGAAAATTGCCTTTGGTAATATACTAGCTGTCGATGGCGACTTCTCTCGCATTAGTCTAGCAATAAATATATTTATCGGCAATAGTTCTTTTTTTTTTTTTTGATGATACAATGTATATTGAATTTCATGATGATGGATTATGTAAGGTGTGAAAGCATAAAAAATTGACATCCGTTTTTATATTATACTAGTGGTCCCGCAATAGTCCTAAATACGACTATAATTATAATACATTGAAATTATAATTTTGAACATTATTATACTTCTATAATCACAGATTTCGCCAAGACTACGCTATAGACAAATATATATTTTTTTTTTATAAATAAATAATAAATAAATAAATATTTACTAACAATCACGCCACGTTAACTGGTCCCGTGGTAAGTTCGTAAAGAACTTGTGTTACAGGTAACAGATAACGGAAATAAATGTAATATTTTTATTATACACATACATATGTTTAATATACATCCATAACCCTGGAAAAGACATTTTTATATCTATCATACAAATATCTTCTCTTGGCGGGATTCGAACCCGCGACCCCCTTGTGTAGTGACCATGTCACTTACCACTACACCAGACGGCCGTTAAAAGATAAACAAACAATATTAACCTATTCTCAATTTTTTTAAGCAATTACAAAAGTTTGACAATAAACAAAAAGTATAGTCAAATACATGGTAGCATAATTTTAAAAAAATATTAGCATTCTGCACTCCTTCTCTATAAATTATCTATAAGTATAGATAATTCTCTATAAGTGTGGGAAATTTCATACTCCTCCGGCCGCGCAAATTTCGCAAAAAAGGGTACAAAGTTTTTGCTTCACGTATTAATATATAGATTTGCTTCACGTATTAATATATAGATATGTACAACGACTGCACAAGAAGAGCCGCGGTACCCGAGGAATGGCGACGTCTTGTAAAGCGCGCTACCACCCGAACTGATGACCACAGCCACTCTACCAAGAGTGTAATCGACAAATAAGAGAGTATGGTAGTAGGAAGAATGGTAGCACCAGCTCTAGTTGCTGACACCTTACTTAGTTTCCGGCAGTGGTCCGTTCACAACACGCCGTACTCAAAACGAACATTGAAAGTCCTCCACAACCACGAAGACTAAGGATAGAAAATGTCAATGTAACTATTAACAATGCCTACGATCTCCCGATTCTGTGGACAGAATGGAAAGCAGTCGACGTCGCCCAAAACACGTCATTTCGGATCCTCCCGATCCACTTTTTTTTTTATTGCCTTTCTAGGCAGACGAGGCACCTGATAGTAAGTGGTCACCGTCGCTCGTGGACGTCAGCAATGCCAGGGGCAGAGCCAAGCCGCTGCCTACATAACTGCCTACATACTAACGGTGCTTTTAGGTACCTCAAGCACCGGTCACCGTTCTCGTCGAATCCGTCGCTTGCGACGAAGGGCTCGGCGAGAAAATTAGCCCATAGAAACAGCCCACTGACTTTCTCGCCGGATCTTCTCAGTGGGTCGCGTTTCCGATCCGGTGGTAGATTCTGCGAAGCACGGCTCTTGCTAGGGTTCGTATTAGCAACGTCGTCAGGTTTGAGCCCCGTTTGCTCACCTACTAGTTAAGGTTGCGCTAAAACAGCCTCTGAACGTTATCAGCTTAGGTAGGAAAAAGCCTACGATCTATGAACACCGACATAATGTGAATATACAAAGCCGTTATAAAATTTAAAATTGTAACAGAAATGTAAAAAAAAATCAGTCACAATTTGAAGTATTCTTGTACAAAGCTAGCGTCAGTGGGGAGTTCGTCGCGGGACGTTTAAGTGAATTAAGTGTTTGCCGAGCCGCAGACACACGACTAGACGTCACTTACCGTCAAGGGGAACGAATATTTAATGAATCATTTGGTTACGACGCCTTCTGAGATAATAACTCTGAATCGAGTATTCGTCTCTTAGCTTTGATATCTAATTATATGTTGTTCTTTGATTCTTTCTTTCTTAAACACGAAATACTTTTGAAATCCACTGTTTCTTCTAATTAGTGTAATCTAATTTGCTTTCTTATTTCCATTTTGAATACAATATCTTCGACTGAAATATTTGAGAAAAAAATTCACGAAAATATGAAAATTGTTAAATTTGCATGAACCCGTCCGAAACTCGACGAGATCGCGCTTATTTAAACGGGAGCGCGATTTTGCGGAGCCACAGTCGGCAGTCGTGTACCGGGCGGCGTGGAACTATGTTATCCTTGTACCGCGCGTGGCTCGGACCAAGTCCGTGCGTGGCCCGCCCTGCGCCGCCACCGGGCGCCCACCGTCCCGTGCCGAGGCGGGCCAGAGCACCGTCTCCTCCCGTCACTCCACCACCACCATCACCCTCATCGACGACTTCCAGCGAACTGGACGTCGAGCGCATAGAAGCGCCTGAGCCTCCGAAACGTGCCAACAGTGCGGTCTTGGACGTGGCCTCCTGCGACGGGCCGGTGCGCTTCAGCCGGGTCCTCAACGCGGCCTGGCGGGACCCGTCCCCGGACAGCTGGTGCCGGCACAGGAAGGCTCAACGTGCGCCGCTACACTACTACCCGTGCAAGACGTGCGGCTCCAAGTTTCCTTCGTACTATTTCGTGCACAAGCACCGGAAACGCTGCCACGGCGAAGAATCCGGCTCTCCTGAGGCCGAGCCGCAACCGTCCACCTCCAGTGCGGCAGATTAGAACGTTCGTCAACAGTAACCCGTGCATATCAGTTCGGAAGCGGCGGTCCCGAGAGCTTATCACAGTAGGATAATCGAATTTATGTTTTAATTGTAACGTTGTTAATAAATGTGTCTCGATTAGTATCTGCGTTTTAATTTTACTATAATTATCGTCGGTGGCGCGTCTCCTATTATTTCTGCCGCGAAGCAGTAACGCGTCCCGATTTGAAGGGTGATACAGTGGTCAAGCTAGACAATGTCGAGTCACGATCAAGTTCTAAAGAAAAACAAAACTAATTTCTGTCTGCACACAGTACAAGGACATAAGAAATTATTATTGTTACTATTAAAAATTGTAGTTCTACTTTTTTGTTTGTTTATTCCGTGACACGTAAAACAAAAAAAATTCGTTTTAAAAATTAAAATAAACTATTTCGAAAAAAATATTACTTAAAATAATTTACCATAGGTATTTATTCTTATTTTAACTAAGAAACAAAAATAATTAAATGAGAAATTGTAGATAAAATCCCAGACTGAAGTTACAATAAGGATTTATTACGAAAATTTTTTAGGTGATCCGACAAGACATCTTTATTTTTAACATTTAACAACCGGACACTAATCAGAATTTAACCGAAACAGTACTAACAAGGGAGGCTAAATACAAAACAATTTTAAAGAATATTCCATGATAATATTTTATGAAGATGTCAAAACACATAAACAAATCTAATAAGACTAATATTTTTTTTAACACGTATCACAACTTATGACGTCATTCGTGGCTAATCGGTTAATCAAGCAAATAACTTGCTTAACCAATTTATAAGTAAAATCTGTATACCGTTTCCACAAGACTTTTTGGCGGGAACACGAGGAGTGAAGTTGTGTGATTTGTTTTATTTTGCCTATTTAGTGTTTCTTCAGGTTTAAATGTGTAATAACGTTGGTTAATTAACTGTTTAATATCTGTAAAAGTGCACAAATATGGGAAAATGAAACAAAGCCGCTGGACGTAACTTCTCGGAATCCTCTAAAAAGTCCACTGAAAAAATCTCAGTAAATGACCACCATTTTACTGAGATCTCATTTCATCCCATATCATCTCATCTCATTTCATTTTATTTCACTCCATATTATCATTTTTCATAAAAATAAGAATATAAATTAAAATAAGACATAATCTAAAGGTCTAAAGTTACCAAGTCATAAAACCCTTAAAAAAAACAGTTTCCACAAAATGTCCATTGCTGTTTCTATATAAATTACGCATAAAATTTTATCATCCCTATTTTACATCCATACTTTTTTAAATTTCTAGATGACATTCAAATTATTAATATTCAAAAGTCTGATCGGTTTTTGTTTACTTATCGTCAGTTCGTATGACACGTGGCACGCGATTCAGAACTGTTTGCGGTTTTTCATAAGATCCTGTTTTATTTATGTCTCGGTCAATTGAAAAAAAAAAAGCTTTACACTTGAAACGCGCTATTAAACTGAATAAGTTCTTGATAAATGTACAAAAGAATTAAATATAAAATTGAGTTTTAATTATTTGCTGACGGCTTCCCTTATGAGACCACGGTTTTCATACATAAATAAAGACCACCTGAAAAATGATCTCAAGGGCTCACCTGTCTCCGGTGTTGGAGGGGGTTGTGTTGGCGTGGGAGGGTTCGCCGGCTGCGGGGTGGGGGGCGCACTGGTGGGGCCCGCGGCCGCAACCGCGGTCACCGCCGGCGCCGGGACCAGCACGGACGTCGGCGTCGAGGAAGGCGTGCACGTGACCACGGCCGACACGACCACGGTAGGGGGCGTCGTCGTGGCCACGGTGGTCGTACTCGGTGCGGTCGTCGTCATGGAGGAAGACGACGTCGACACCGGCGCGATTGTGGACGGGCTCGTAGACACGGGTGTGGAAGCGGGCGACGGCATAGACACCGGCGAAGGCGCGCTGGGCGGAGACGACTCCTGTACAGACTAAGCAACGACTGTTTTAATTCTTCAGCAGCATAAACATAACCAACCTAACCTAAAACGTCTAATTCTCGAAAAACCATTACATTGTACACGAAAATCGTAACCGTTTACAAATAAAGGCACGACGAGTGAATTAACCCACAGACACAGCCCACTGAGTTTCTCGCCGGATCTTCTCAGTGGGTCGCGTTTCCGATCCGGTGGTAGATTCTGCGAAGCACTGCTCTTGCTAGGGCCAGTATTAGCAACACTCCGGTTTGAGCCTGAGCCGTGAGCCTACCTACACGTCAAGGAGAAGCTGAAATAGCCTCTCAAGGCTATCAGAATAGGTAGGAAAAAAAAGTCAGATGAAAACGGTCCCCAAGCACAGCACCACAATCACGCGAAAGACTTTCTCGAGAGGAGAGCGGCGACATTTGTATTATTACTTAACATTAGGTGAGTTCATCTGTAAAATAAAACATAAAAATGAGGAATAATATTTCAAACATACTCACACTCAAAGCTGTGATCGTGATGGTGGTTTCGGTCGTGGCCGCCGTCGTCAATAACGGTATTTCGATGAGCGTTGCAGTGGGGGGAGGCGAAGTAGGCGGTATGGGGATGGAGGAGGGGCTGTCCATCGATGCTATCGTCAGCGGCATCGAGGATGAAGTGGTCACCGCCAGGGGGGCCGACGAAGCCGGCGGAGGGGAGGGCGGCAGAGGCGGCGTTCTCGCTAATTCGACCCTGATTGCCGCATAACTGTTCAAAGAAATACGAGTTTTTATTTTCAATTTGTCTAAATCAGTCATAAAATTAGAACGATTCAAAATCATTTATTTCAATTTGGATATAATTTATGAGCAGCATACAGCCATACATAATTCCTTACTAGTTTTACCGGTCGTTATTTTTTTTGTAGCCCTGTTTTTTTTTACTGAGACTAACCCCCGTATATTTAGTCGTTCATACGAGTTTAACTCGACTTGACTCAACCTCCAACGCGCGTTTTGGTATGCTTGATTGTAAAAATAAACTCCACTCAAACGTCCTCCGACAATTTTCCTCACCGGAGTGGAGTAAATGAACTGTCAAGTCAAGGTACGTCGCGACGTACCTTGAACGTTCCTCAAGGCTTTTCTATCAATGTCCAAATAGTATGTGGACCGCAAATGGAAATATATGATATTGTTGTACGATGGCCTGGATCTGTGCATGATTCGCGCATATTTAGCAACAGCAGATGCTGTTTGAGATTTGAAGAAGGCGATTTGGCTGGAAGCGGCATTCTTGTCGGAGACAGCGGTTATGCGCAGACTGGCTGTATGTACACTCCTGTGCTGAATCCTCAAACAGACCCAGAACACAGACACAATCGTATTAAAGAGACGCTTTGCTTGTTTGTATAGAATATTACAAAACAGTACACCAAATACAAGCAATATTATAGTCTCTTGTGCTGTCCTACACAACATTTGTTTAATGACTAATGAACCTGAATTGAACCCAGATATTGAGATAGAAATTTTCCCAGTATCTAATACTCAGGAATCTGCCAGAGGGAGTATTATACGATCGTCTTTTATTTCTAGGCATTTTAGTTAAAAAAAATCATATGGGTATATAACTTAGTAATCTAACTTCCGTATCTTCCCGTGTGTAACCATTCTTGTAATGCAGAAAGTATTATTTATTTTGCAGATAAATGATTAAATTTTATTTATTAATTTTGATAATTTTTACTAACAAAGTAAATAGTTCGAGGTTAGACTTTTGAAACTCCTTAGGTGATTGGACGAGCTCACAGCCCACCTGTTGTGAAGTGGTTACTGCAGCCTATAGACATCTACAACGTAAACGCGCCACCCACCTTGAGATATAAGTTCTAAGGTCTCAAGTACAATTACAACGGCTGCCCCACCCTTCAAACCGAAACACATTACTGCTTCACGGCAGAAATAGGCAGGGCGGTGGTACCTACCCGCGCGGACACAAGAGGTCCTGCCACCAGTAAAACGTCGCGATAAACAACATCCATCGAACGGTGTACACGATTTGGAAATATCCGTTTATTTGTATTCTAAAAGTTTCGTTTGCATTAAATTAAGTTGATAATTAACCATACGCCGCGAATTAAGCTCCGACGAGATCGCAGGGGAGGGCTCGGACAAACATAATTAGCTTGATTCGGCGCTTTTTAATTACTGCACTACCCCCCCCCCATTCGACCCCCTACCCCCCTACAGTATTTACTAAACGCTATCCGGATATGAGAATGTTTTTTTTTTGCATCATATTTATTAGCGTAAATATCATTGCTTAGCGAACAATAACTCTCAAACAGAATTGGTTTATTTTGATGCAGAGACAAAAACATAGGAGACGCGTTATCTTTCGTGATCACGAAAACTGTATACTATTTGGACGTTGGAAATAAAATAATTATAATAAAAATAGTAATAAAAAGTTTAAAAAGAATATTTTAAAATCTTTGTATATAATTTTTATAATTGCTGTTCGTTCGTCTCGCTAAAACTCGAGAACGGCTGGACCGATTTGGTTAATTTTGGTCTTGAATTATTTGTGGAAGTCCAGAGAAGGTTTAAAAGGTAGATAAATATGAAAATACTCGGAATTAAATAAAAATAACAATTTTGTTTGTTTTAAGTTTATTTTATACTAAACTTTAGGTCTTTTATTTATCGATTGAGGCACTACGAAGTCTGCCGGGCAGCTAGTATTTTTATAATTTCTTAGTTTGTGTAATAATTAAGTAAATAATGAACCGATACCGACAATCCTAAATGACATAATGTTAAGTTAAAAGTTAAACCTAGTGTTATGTGGTTACCTGGTTCCCACAGATATAATGACCCGAACGCACACAAATGACGTTCAAGTTTCAAATTGTATTAATATATCGGTATCGACTGACCAACCCTTCAAACCAGTACGGTATTGACAGGCTGGTTGTTCATTGACCACTGTCAACAAATCCAGTACATCTAATTCTGGAATTAAGCATGTCCTTCCTTAACCCCGCGACGTTATTATTATGTTATTTTATGTGTCAATTAATTGTATAATGATTTAGTTTGATTGTGTATTTTTCAATAATGTTTACGACCATGAACAAGAAATGATTATTATTTCAAATCATGCGAAACGTGAAGAGTTACGTTCTAAGAAGTGTCAAAAGGGACTTCGTAGTTGGAATAGAGCAGTGATTCTCAACCTTTTTTTTTGTTGCGGCACATATTTAACGATTTCAAAATTTGGCGACACACAAAAAAAAAGATAAAAATGATTTACTTACTACAACACACTGCATAAATAGTTTATCAAAAAAATTTAATATACGAAATAAACTAAAATATACTACAATTTTTTTTGGTGGATTTAATATATATTCATGTTTAAAATATTTTTCTTTTAAAATGATATAATTTAATAATATTAACATTATTATATATTCGCAAAACTTGGCGGCACACTTTTGAAATTTGGCGGCACACAAAAGTGCCGCGGAACAGTGGTTGAGAAACACTGGATCAGAGTATAACGCGATAGGTAAGCTACAAAAAATATATTAGACAAATTAAAATAGAATCCCATTTAGATTCAGTGCTTACAAGGCTACACCGGTTAGGAGTAAGTCAGTATTTGTATATCATTAAAATTTGGACCAATTAATACGGAGAGCGAACTGCGGGGGTGGTAATTATCACTGTGCAAACTTACCGGGGGGTGTGTTTGCACGCCCGCCCGTCATTCCGACAGACAAATTAATCTCATCCGCGGCTACAAATTGTTTAATTTTTTTTTTTTTTATAATTAGTTATGACAGTTTATTTTTTTATATAATATGTATATTAAATTACATTATTAACCCTTTTAGTGCTGATTCACCTTTCGCATATTTTGCAGAAGTTGCTGAAGGATTTTTGGAAACAAGATACCTTATAAAAAAGTTTAACTGAACAAACAAAAATCAATGCTAATTTTAAATTTATATTTATAAATTAACTACACTTGAGACCTTAGAACTTATATCTCAAGATGGGGGGGGGGGTATTTACGTTGTAGATGTCTATGGGCTTCAGTGACCACTTAACACCAGGTGAGCTGTGAGCTCTTCCACCTATCTAAGCAATCCAAAAATAATAATAATAATATCGTTTTCTACCAAATAGATTGCCGAACAAACAGAGTGATATTTTTATTCGTTTTCCCTTCCCCGTCGCCGCGGACGATGCTTTTAATTAAGGCAATTAGAAAGATGGCTTCACTCTGTGTTTGCGTAAAAATCTAAACAAGCCGTAGCGGTAGATAACGGCAACGGTAGTGATGCACTGGCGTCGTGTCGATAAACGAGAAATCCCTTTAGTTATTATCGAAATCCTTTCCGAGTGACCTTTTTCTTTTTTTTCCTACCTAAGCTAAACCTAAGAGAGGCTATTTCAACGTAACTTTAACTAGTAGGTGAGCTCACGGGGCTCAAGCCGGAGTGATGCTAACACTGACCCTAGCAAGAGCAGTGCTTCGCAGAATCTACCGCCGGATCGGAAACGCGACCCACTGAAAAGATCCGGCGAGTAACTCAGTGGGCTGTGTGAGTATTAATTTACACGTCGAGCCCTTCATCGCAAGCGACGGGTTCGACGAGAATTTCGAATTTAAATTTTATTCAGAGATAAATCTGTAGCTTCGTATTGAAGTGACGTTTCATGAAATAGCGTATCGATTTTGAAATCTTCAGCTTCGTTAAACGTGTTTATTTATATTTTTTAAATATTATTTTTTAATACCACTAAAAAATATTTTAAGGCTTCATTATTAAAATTTTAGTGTAAGAAAAATACATAATATGAATTGTAAAAAAAATCGAATAAAAAAATCACAGATTTTCGTTATTGTTTTAATTGCAGTCATGTAACTTTAGTTATATTTTTTAAACTAAAAAATGAAAATAGTAAAAAAAATTATCTTAAATTTATCTATTATTATAACAATTATCTTATCTTCGATGCGATAGATCTGTCGGAACGCGATCGTCGTGAAAATATCGATACCGTATATCGATACCGTATATCGATACCGTATATCGACATGCCGCGCGGCGCTTCCTGACATGCTGATTGGATCGCGGCTCGACTCCCGCGGGACTCCTCCTCAAATAATCACCCAAGTGATTGTCAACACACCGACGCAATACATGCCTCTTATTATTGATTATTTAAATAAACGTGAACACAGGCGATTTATCGATTCCGAAAGCTAAGAACGTGCTAGTTTATTTATTTTATTTATTTATTTATGTACACACAAAAAGGAAGACATAGTACAGAGTAATAGGAAAATTATGTACTAAGGCACTGCTTATTTCTTTAAGAAATCTCCTCCAGCAGACCTGCGAGAGGATTATGAGAATAATAATTAAAAGTGATGAGTGTGTGTGTGATTTGTGTTAGTTTTTAAACATGATAATCTATATATTAATACGTGAAGCAAAAACTTTGTATCCCTTTTTACGAAAATTGCGCGGACGGAGGATTATGAAATTTTCCACACTTATAGAGAATATAGAGAAGAAGCGCACAATGGTAATATTTATTTTAAATAATGCATAAAAGATACATTAAATCAATAAAGAAAACATTACACACACTACATACCATGTATTTGACGCACACACGCATACATACTATTTATTGTCAAACTTTTGTTCGATATTCGATAGATTAAATATTGTTTGTCTTTGT